ACACCACCAGCCATTTCAATTCCCATAATACCAATCACCTAATCAAAATCAGTCTCCAACTTACATTAATTGTTATTCATTTTAATTAACTTACCATCGACAGACTTCGCTCAACACATTGACACACGACCTCACCTGGAAACACATGATATTCATTAGCAAGAATGAAAGATAAGACTTGAACATAATATAGAAGTTCAGCATATGCCAATGATTGTTCATCTAGTTCAACAGCTAGTTTTTGTGGATGTTTCATTACTTGATATACAAATTCATGATGAATACAAGTGACAGGTGATGAAAATGATACTTGTGCATTGTTGATTGATTGCATGAGTAATCTTTCATTTGGTAATGTTAATGATATTTCATAGATTGATTTACTCATTTGATCATCAGCAGACACAAAGAATTGTTTCAAGACTGAATGGAATCGTTGAGATATGTTATCAATTGTTTCAACATTGAATAAATCAAGTGATGCATTGACTGTGCATAAGAGTTGATTGATATTGAGATCATGTTGAATTATAAGTGAGAAATCATTAATGTTCATTGTGGAGGGTATCGAAGAAAGCTGACTATCACCAATCATTATTTCATTCTCCTCATCTCTTCTCATAGATGATATAAATGCAAATGATACATCTAGAAATGCTGATTGTAAAACATTTGGATGTTGATTGAGGATACGTTGAAGAGGAAAGTAAGAATATTTTATATTCTTTGTTGTTGCCTCTTCTACATGCTGAAGCAGTTGATGGAAAGACCAGTGAGGATCTAGTTGACATCGCAATGGAATAACCTTATCGAATAGTCCAATCATAGGCTTTAGTTCATCTTTATCACGATTGTCGATATTCATAGCAATACATAGATCTTTTTCACCATTCGTTAGTTTGAATAAATAAATATAGTAAATAGCAAGTGCTAAATGTTCATGTTTGATATTATTTGATGATGCATGAGTAAGAAAGTGATGTGAGAGATCTTGACCAAAATCAAAAGAAATAGATATTCTACGACCAGTTCGATGTTCATCTGAGAGACGATATCGATCAAATGGTAATGATAAAGGTTGATCGAGCTTACAATCATGAAGAGTATCAAGCCAAAACATACTTGCTTCAGTCATTGACATTTGTTGGTTAATGATTGAGCTTTTAGGAATTGTGCATGTACTTGGATCTGACAATGATATTTGTTCAGTAGGAAGAAGGATAGTAAGTTTATGGATGGATTCTTGAAGCATCGGAAATGAAAAGATTTGCGTAAGAATATGTTGGAAACGCTTGGACAATAGATCGACATCATCTTGATGTTGAAATATATCAGCCGAACAATTCAGAAAACATTCGGTACTTCGCGTATTATGGTCATGAGCAATTGTAAGAGAGATATCAAATAGTGATATATCGTTCTGGTGATTCAGATCTCTATCATGGTAACCGCTTACAGCTGAACCTTCGCTCAGAGTTAATTCGATTGAGTTTTTCGGTATTAATAATGATACCAAAGATTCATACTGGAAAAACATTGAAGGTAATACATTTTTTTCTCGTTTGCCTTGGGAATCAATAATCTGTTGATAAGGTAAAGAAGCATGTACGAGAATTTCATTACTTAGCTGTTGTACTTGTTGTACGAGGTGTTTAAATGTAGTATTTGGTTCAATTTTGACTCGGTATAATAGAAGATTGACAAACATACCAATCATGTCTTGTAACTCTTTCTCAGATCGATTACCTGCACTGCTTACTACACACAAGTCATCATTATGATTGGTCAGGTTAAATAAAAATACATAATAACAGGCAAGAGACAATGAAAACATTGTCACGTTGTTGATTGAAGCAAATAACATCATTGCATCAACCACATCTTGATCAATAATAAATGCAGATGAATAACCACGACCAGAACGATGTCGATCAATTTGGCTTTCATCGGGCGCCAAATGTCGTATTCTATCCCAGTCGTATCCATGCATAAGATTAGCCCAAAACCGACGAGCCTTGTTCATATTTGACTCTGCACTTGTGTCGGCTAACAATGCTTGTTCGTACAATGCAAAGTCAATGTATTGTGGAATTGCTAACACTGGCTGCTGATATTCATTTGCCCAGCATGCTCGTTCAAAGGCTTTCAGAAATGGTTTGAATGAGCTGAGATCAAATGCGATATGGTGAATCACAAAAATAATCAGATCACCTTCGTATAGTAACTCATCATGATTCTCAGAAGATCGTTGTACTACATGACATCGTATAACTTTTCCATTTTCAATATCGAAATGTTTTCCAATTGTTTCATTCGTCAGTAGATGATCAAGTTGTTCTAATGTGGAAACACCTCGAGAATGTTGAAAGGAATAGATATCACCGGTAAGTGGTAGAATGTTTTGCTCAATTTGATTATTCATTGGATTGAAACGAATGGCAGTGCGAAGAACTGTATGCTGCTGAATCATTGAGGCTAAGGATAAACGAATATGCTCTATTAAGACTGAACCTCGTTTGATCTGCAATGGAACCAGTCTATTGTAGACAGACAAATCGGAACCACTAAAATAAAGATTTTCATGCATGTAGATACGCTGTTGAGCAGATGAAGCTACAGCTTCTGTTCGACCAGACACCATCAGTTGTTGTACTTTATGGTCAGCGATCGCTGCTGTTGATTTCTTTTTTCGAAACATTTTTCGTAATAAAAAACTATAAACTATCTATTTCTGATGCAAGAAGTCGAATACAATCTAGAAATTATAAAGAAATAAGAAAAAGAACTTGAATTTGAATACATCAGGAATAAATTCAACATTATTAAGTTTGCTATTTATTGCTGTAATTTGAAAACTGAAATATTGGGCAAGAAGAAAAACAATTATGTTAGTTTGATAGTGTTAGTATATAAGTTGATTAATTATTAGTAAATATTCACACAAAACATCTTTTTTTCAGAACATATATCATATAGAAATATATATAAAATAATCGAAGAACTAATGTTTTTTTCAATCATCAAAATATTGAGTTTTCATCAGTAAATTCAACAACATGGAGAAATTATGATACAGTATAATATCGCCATGTGTATAAAACGCAATGTTTTAATCTTACTTAATCAAAATAAGTGGAGAGAATAGAAAGAATTATGATGACTTTCATAAAGAACATGTAATATTGACATTGAGAGTGCAGAAAGATAACAAAATGCTTAGTGTAATGTAATTGATAGAGAAAATATTCATTTTAGTTTTATAAAGTTTAAACTATTATATAAAATTGTGATCTAAACTTAATGTAGGTTATCTCATACAATATTTGTGAAAGCCTGTAATCCTTGTACTACCAGCCGGATTGTTTTTGGCTCCATTCTCAACCATCTGAAAAATCAGTAGAAATAACTGCAGTTTCCGAGTTTTTGATAGCTATTAATGTGTTCCATGAGCTAATTATAACAGTATTTAACTCTGGAAACACGCTGATAGGCTTCAAAAGCTAGGAAACTGCAGTTATTTCTACTAATTTTTCAGATTGTTGAGGATGGGATTAAAGATGATCTCTGCTGGTAGTATAATTGTTGATCTGTTTTTATTGTCCTATGTAAAGTTTTTTGAAGATGAATTATTTTCTTTTACAACTCATTGTAAAACAGATAAAATCTCTGTTCAAAAGAAATAGTAGCTGGATTTCAAGAAAAAAAACTTATATGAAATTGTATATTTCTGGCTACAATAGATACTAATACTTGATATTAAGATGTATAAATTTTACTTCTGAATTTCCTTATTTTGATGATTAAAAACTCTACAAGTATTTCTATAGTATAATATATGATAAATATTAGAATTAGTAAATAAAAAAAATCGAGTTCAAACTAACCCGACCATCAATGTTTGGAGAATGTCAATGTTATTATTATTCTTGATTCTAATCGTCCAGAAGAAGTAATCGAATATCGACAATCATTAGATGATCTTTGAGTTGTTTTATCATTTCATGTGCAATGATTTCTTCCTGTTTGTTGCGGACAGCCATTAATTGATAAGGTCCACGTGGTTGAATACGACGCATTTGCAAAATCATATCACGAGCATAAATAGATGTCGATGCTTTTGATGCTACTGATGGTATTTTTATAGCGTAAATGAGAACTGATCTGGTTTGATCTTGTTGTTCATATATTTTGTCAATGAATAATTTATTCAGGTTATCAGTATTGGTTGGTGACTGCTCCATAATACAGAAGAAAACATGACTATTGCACTGCAGTGAATGTTGAAGACAGATGATATTCTCTATACCAGTGTAATTAGAGTTATGAGATAGTTTTATTTCATTTTCTTTGATTGGATCAGCATCCATGTGTTCTTCTTTAGTAGTTGATGATACAACTTGATGTCGTTCGTTGAGCTTATTATGAATTACTGTTGCAATAGTTTCAATAGAATATCCTTGAAGTAGATCAACTAATGGTATGTAAACACTGGTCTCTTGTCCCAACCAATTATAGAGTGAAAGAGCTGCTAATGAGTCCATACCTTGGCTAACCAATGAACGATCAATTAGGATACGTTCAATACTGGCTGCACCTAGAATATGTGCTACAGTCATCTGAATTCGTTCAATAATAGTTTCTTTTCGATTCCAGTTCGAAGTAGTTGTACAGTTGAGTTCTGTTGATGTTGTTAATACATTTGTGAGTTTCATAACATTGTAGCGTTCTTCTACTATTTTATTCAATTGAAATATCGGTATTTTGTGACGTCTTTCATGTAATTTTTGCCAATTAACCGCAAAAATAACAGGACATGGACTAGTCTTCTGATTTGCATGAAAGCGTTCGATCAACTCGAATACAGCTATTGGTGGCAATACTTCAAAGCCATGTGTACTTTGTAAAGTGCTGAGCATATCCCGTTGTCGATGAAACATGCCTGCACCACTTACAGCAGGCAAGCTAACTGAGAGAGCAGGTAAATTTTGTTGAGTCATACGGTAGTGAGCAAGAGCATCGAGAAATTGATTACCAGCATTGTAACCGGACGATGCCACTTCAATTAGATGATTTCGAATTGATGAGAACATGATGAAAAAGTGCAGAGGAGCATGAGTGAGCTGTGTTACTTGATGAAGAATCCAAGCACCACGAACTTTTGCTGCTAAAACATGTGCTAAATATTCTTGTGTCATTTTAGACAAAGTTCGGTCTTCTGCAACGACAGCACTGTGAATAACTCCTCGAACAGGATAAGATGTTCGACTTAATTTTTCGATTAGATTATATACTTGATCAAAATTTGTTACATCTGCTTGAACAACATCAACATAAGCTTGATACTCATTAATTGTTTGTTTCAATCGTAACCAATCATCATATTGTGGATTTGAAGGTTGTTCAAGTTCAGCTAATGTCCGACGACTCATAAGAATAATACGTTTTACACTTCGTTTCTCTATCATCCATCGAGACATTGTCAATCCGAGACCACCAAATCCACCAGAAATCAAAATTGTTCCTTGTTGGCAAACGGTCGATGGAAACATAATATCATTATCTAAATTTATAATCATTAGAATCATAATGAAAGATTAGTAAAGGTTACCTTCGAGTAAATTATTAGGATATATACTATTTAAATAGAGTGATTCATTAGAATTGGCTAGACGAACAACAGCTTTGCCCATAGCTTGACCACTATTACATCTCATGAATGCATCAATCACTTGTGATGGTTCATACACAACTGTAGGTTCGATTGCTTTTAATTTGCCTTGAATAAGTAAATCAACCATTTCTTGAAGTATAGCGTTGTAGATGTCTGGATGATTTTCAAGAATTAAAACTAAATCAATGACATGAAAACTACAATCCGATCGAAAGTCAAACATAGACAATTGAGTCTTGTCAAAAACATCTCGTTTTCCCCATTCAACAAAATGACCATGATCAGCAAGTAATTTAATGGATTCTTGTAGAAGAATACCTGATAAAGAATTAATGACAACATCGACACCATGAGGTAGAATACTTCTCACACCACTAACAAAAGAAGTATCTCGACTATTAAATACATAGTCAACACCACAATGTTCACGTAAAAATCGTCGCTTTTCTTCACTTCCAGCTGTGGCTATAACACGAGCACCAATATATTGACAATACTGTATACAAATTTGACCGGCACCACCTGTTGCAGCATGAATGAGAACAGTTTGACTACGTCGTAAATGAACACGATATTTGAGAGAATATATAACTGTTAAAATTGGACATGCTAGACCACATAATTGTTCATCGGTGAGAGGACACTCAGATGGAATACACACTACTTGTGTTGAGTCGACAGTGACATGTGAATGGAATACACCACGTGAAGAGATGCCAACGACATGATCTCCTGGCTGAAAACTGACACTAGGACATGCACGTATGATAGTCCCAACAAAATCAGAACCTGGTTCGGTGTCTCGATTCATGTATGGTTGATACTCATCCAGTTGTGCAAATGTACGAGTATGTGGATACAGACCTCGTGCTTTCAATACATCACGAAAGTTAATGCCTACACAATTGATTTGAACTTCCACCATGCCTGGTAGTAATTCTTCTGCCCTGTTATCGGGAGCCCATGTTAATTCAGTGAGAAAACGAGATGGAGGCACACGAAGACGAAATGATTGTTGATTAGCATCTTGTCGAGGAATAATACAAATTTGTTTTATTGTTGTTTGATTTTCTTTTTTATCATGTGTTTGCAACATTGTATAATGCCATCTGGTTTGTTTTACTTTCTTTGCATGTGTGTCAAGACGAAGAACAATCTCATCAGTATTCTTTGTATATCGGGAAGTTACCATGTATTCTACCAAAGCATGAACAAGAGCTGATTCATTAATCATTGTTGACGATGCTTGTAGATCAAGAAGCTTCAGTCGATGTTGTTCATATTCAACCATTAAACTTCTTACAAGACCAATAAATGTTGATTGAAGTATATTGCAATCAGAACCAGTATTTAGCTGAGCATGTCTTGTAATAACAAACATAAACGGGAGAAAGGTGGGAGATATTGCATGAATTATTTGAAGAAGTTGGATGAAGATGCCACAAATAGACTCTTCGTGTTCTTTAAATGCCAAATCGCTATTGTCACTTAGGCAAGTTTGCTCAAATGGCCAAGCAAAAACAATATATAGCTGTTTATAGCTATCCATCATAGTTTTAAGTACAAAACGAATTTTGTCAATCGTTGATGCACCCCTATCCAAAAATCGAATGTTGGAAGATGGCAAAAGCGATATGATGTTATGACAAAGACTTTCAGAATCGTTTTTGCCAAAGAATAACCATGCTTGATTTTTTCTTTCGCCGAGAGTTTGTAGTATCTTATAAGATGTCGTCTTGTGAGCAATAATTAATGTACTTTCATGTTGACTCATCACCGTCTCAGCATCTTCAAATCCACCAGTTTCTTTTAACGCTGCAGTCCAATGATGGATACCACGAAGAGCACGTGCATTACTAGATGGTAACCACCAATGATCGAGTAAACCAAAGATAAGATCAAAATAGAGGGGAACATCAGTTAATTCAAGTAATAAGAGAAGACCATTGGGAACAAGTAGATGACGAAGATTAATTAACGATGTCATTAAATCGTCACTTTCCTGTAATTTATTTGCGGCAAACACG